GGGCTTTTCCTTCCTGCTGAACTTGACTGGATCTGGGGTGGAACACAGGCGTCTTCCCCCTCCAGGGTGCCCAAAGGAAGGTCTGTGTGCAGGAAAATAGTGGGTCATATCATTTTGCTTTTCTTTTCAATTGAATCCTGAAATCATCTCCGGTTGGCCTATCATGCAGGGACAAGCTTGACTCTACTTCTTGCCTGGTGCGGAAGGTTATTTGCTTTTTACCTTGAGCCCTCTCCTAAGGTAAGAGGTAGCATCTCAGCTCCCTGATTGCATCTGGGTGTGTGGGTGTGTGGGTGTCTGTGTGTGTGTGTGCCGGTACTGGGACTTGAACTCAGGGCCTCATGCTCTTGCTTGGCTTTTTCTACTCAAGACTATCACCCTACCATTTGAGCCACACCTCCACTTCCAGCTTTGGACTGGATCACTGGAGATAAGAGTCTCTAAGATTTGTCTGCCTGGGCTGGCTTTGAACCATAATCCTCAGATCTCAGCCTTCAGAATAGCTAGGATTACAGGCGTGAGCCATTAGTGCCCAGCTTCTAATTGCATCTTTTTTTTTTTTTAACTGATCGGCACATCAAGAGTTAATAGTGGCTTCTGGGCCATATTAGAAATAACCAGTCTATTTTTTTTTTTTTAATGGTGAAATGTCTCTCAGCAGAGTTGCAGTTTCCTTAGACCCCAAAAGCATCTGTTTCATACACTTGGATGTCATTCGTATTTGACACCTACATTTCCTCCGCTCCGGCTTCAGCCAGCCAACGACAACACTAACGATTATTCATGTGGGTTTTGTTTCTCATTAAAGGCAGACATGTGTTACAATTTCTTACTATTCTGGTAGCATTTGGAGTCGCTCGGGCGACACACCAGTGTGTAAGTTTCCTCATTGCTCTGAAGGTCAAATCTTCTTTTTATTTTATTGGTTTGATTTTTTTTTTTTTTAAGAAAGGAAAGGAAAAAAACCCTACTCTGAATTAAATAGCTATTTTAACAGTAGGCTCTTAGCATTACAGCACAGAGTCATTCTTCATGTTCTTGTTTAACAGGCACTGAGGTTCTGGTTTAAATTAAATAGCTGTAAATGAGACAATTTATAACCCATTAGGTTGGGTGGAAAATTGTTTCTCAAAAAGCAAATAAGTAATAAATCTGGTATCTGCCTGTAATTCACAGTTGATAAGCAAGTGGCCATTACTCCCTAGCATTATATATGATTTGGCCCTGAGTAATTTGGAAGTGTTCAGTTTGTGTCTTTGTAGCAGTACTTTGTTTTGTTGTTATTAGAAAAGAGTCTGTTAGTCTTCAGAGCATTAATCCCTGTGTTATCTACCATGGATGCCTTAAGTTTCCTGAGTGTCATTTTCTTGATGCATGGACAAAGTGTAAGCAGTACTCGCTCAGTTATTTGTATTTAGTTTGTGCTGTATTTAATTATTTTTTTTTTCCATCACAGGTTTTTCCTCCTTACAAATATGATATTCTTTAGTGTGAAGCTAAAGCATTGATCATGTATCTATACCTATAATTAATTAATAAACTATTTTCCAGATGTGTTTGGGTTGATGGAATCGATGGGTAGAATTTCCTCAGCCTTGGGGAATTTGTTTTCTATGAGTATGAAGAATGGTGGTTTTTTTTTTTAGAGTAGAGAGCAGATGGTCACAAGGGGAGAAAAAAAACAGAACTATCTTCCCTTCAGTAGGTACTTAGGGAAAAACTGGAAACTGCAAAAAGGTTGTTGGGCCCCCATGGCTCATTCCTGTAATCACAGCTACTCAGGAAGTTGAGATCTGAAGAATGTCATTTGAAGCCAGCCCAGGCAGGAAAGTCGCTGAGTTTCTTTTTTTCTTTTGGTGCCAATCCTGGGGCTTGAACTCAGGGCCTGAGCACTGTCCTTGAGCTTTTTTTTTTTTTTTTTGGCCAGGCTAATCCTCTACCACTTGACCCACACCTGTACTTCAAGGTTTTTTTGTGTGTTTTTTGTGGTTAATTAGAGATTGGACTTTTTTTTTTCTTTTTTTCTTTTTGTCAGTCGTGTGGCTTGAGCTTTGGGCCTGGGCGCTGTCCCTGAACTCTTCAGCTCAAGGCTAGCACTCTACCACTTGAGCCACAGCACCACTTCCGGTTTTCTAGTGGATTATTGGAGATAAAGAGTCTCACGGACTTTCTTGCTGGCTTTGAACTGTGATTCTCAGATCTCAGCCTCCTGAATAGCTAGTATTACAGGCATGAGCCACAGCACCTAGCTTCCTTGAGACTCTTTATCTCCAATAAACTACTCAAAAAACAACAACAAAGAAGCTGGAAATGGTTCTAGGGCTCAAGTAGTACAACATTCTCACCTGGAAAGGCAAAAGAAACTCAGGGACAGCACCCAGGCACACACAGTTCAAGCCCCAGAACTGGCAGTAAAAAGAAAAAAAAAAGTGCTTTTCCATTAGAAGGAACCAGGAGCCAGAGGCTTCCCTGCCCAGGACCACCCCTAAAGTGACGACAGGGCCAGACTTGGAGTTAATTGACAGATCATACAGTGAGATACTGCACATTTTCCAGGAAACAGAATAGCCATTATTTGCATATCACCCTCCAACCATGCATTGTGATAAAGAAGAATTAAACACTTGTCAACATGAATTTAAAATGACAGCAATTCAGGACATCAGTGTGACCTTCCTGGAGTTCAGGACATGCCAAGAAGGGCTGTGGAGGATTCAAGCCCTGCAGAGGCCTGGGGAAGGCCGCTCCTGTCTACCTTTCCTGCGGCCAGTAGAGGCCTCACTCCTGCCTTTCCTCATAATGAAATCCAATGGGGCTCTGGCACACTAGAGTCGCTGACCTTGAATCTTTCTCTATTCAGAAACTTTCAGTCCTGGGTATCTGGCTTATCTGCTGCTGTAGAGATTCCTTGGGTGGTGGTTGCTGCTGCTGCTCCTCTTCCTCCTCCTCCTCTTGGGTTAGTACTATGGCTTGAACCTAAGGCCTTAGAGTTTTCATGCAAGGCTGTCATTCTACGTGGGGAGCTGGTGAATTGGACATGAGTCTGGCTGAGCTGGCTTGGAACTGAGATCTCCAGATCTCAGCTTCTTGAGTAGCTGGGATTACGGGAGTGAGCCACAGGCATCTGGGCTCATACCTTATGGTTAACAGGCCTGTCCATCTACAGGCATGCTGACTCCTGAATAGTTGCAATTCTTTAGTTATTTACACCAAAGTTAGTTTTATGGATGGTTAGCAATCCTGGTCCCAAAGTCTATAGTGAGTAGCCATGGAGAGACTTAAGCCAAGTGCCAATGTGAGATCTAAGGGTCAGTGGTTCGAAGCCAGCCGGGTCAGGAAAGTCTGAGACTCTTACCTCCAAATAACCACCAAAAAGCCGGAAGTGGAACTGTGGCTCAAGTGGTAGAGCACTAGCTTTGAGCACAAAGAAGCTCAGAGACAGAGCCCAGGCCCTGAGATTAAGCCCCACAACTGATCCCCCCCCCCAAAAAAAAGTGCTAGGGTACAGTGCCTGAATTCAAGCCCCAGTACAAAGGGAGTCACAAAACGGGGCAGGAGAGAGACTTAGCTATACTAGTACTTTCCCAATTCCAGTCTTCAACTGCAGCTACTAGAACTTAACTACTCAATAATCCACCATGCTAGATCAACAGCTCATTTAATATGGTCGCAAGAGGTCAAGAGTCATGCTCTTTGAGGGCTAGACTATCATAAGGATGTCTTTTGTGTGTGCTGCATGCTCATGGATGCCAGTATTGAGGTTTGAACCCTAGGGGGCCTCATGCTCTCCCTTACCTTTTTTTTTTTTTTGTCCGTCATGGGGACCTGAACTCTGGGCCTGGGCACTGTCCCTTAGCTCTTCAGCTCAAGGCTAGCGCTCTACCACTTGAGCCACAGCGCCACTTCTGGCTTTTGTATTTTTGCTTATGTGCTGCTGAGGAATCGAACCCAGGGCCTCAGGCATGCAAGGCAAGCACTCTACCACTGAGCCACCTTCCCAGCTTTCCCTTAGCTTTTTCGCTCAAGGCAGGCACTCTACCACTTGAATCACAGCTCCACTCCGACCTCAGCTTCCTAGGATTACAGGCATGAGCCTCTCTCTACACGGGGCTCAGGATGTCACTCCTGTGGGACCCATGTGGTCTCCCTAAGTTCTCAGTTCTCAGATGGGAAACATCCTCTGACCCTGGCCTTTGAACTTCCGATGGGTTCTCCTTTGTCCAGACCTGGGGACGACGGAGGCCTGGGCTTGGGGCTGGTGGTAGGTTAGACACCAGGCAGAACTTTCTCCTCCTCTAGGTTCCCATCACTCGGGTCTGCTTTCCCCAAATGCCGCACAGGCTCCTCCGTCTGAAGGGTCCAGTCAGTCGTGTGCCTGGAGACGACTTCCCTCCCTCCCGAGGGGGGCCCCCGGGGGCCCCCACGGCACAACGAATCTCCGGACAACTTTATAGCCCTGATCTCTGGACCCAGCAGACCCGGGGAGGGGTGCGATGCTGCGGCGTGTTTCCCCCTGCGCCCCCCCTCCCTCCCCTCCAAGTCCTGGGGCTGGCTGGCTGACCCCTGGACTCGGGGGACCACGCGGGGATTCGGGGGACCGCAGTTCAAAGCGCAGGGGGGCGCGTCCGCCGCGCAGCCGGGAATGTCCGGCCGCTCAAAGCGCTCGCCGGCTCTTTTGTTCCCCAGACCCGGCCTCCGGGGAGGGCGGGGTGGGGGTGGGGGGACCGGAGGAGGAGGGGAGGGGACAGCGGGGGGGGGGGCCGGCCGGGGAGGGGGAGGAGGGCGGGGCGGGGAGGGGCGAGGCTGACAGATCGCTGCAAGATGGCGCAAGCGGCGCTCCCCCCGCGCGCCCCGCGCTCCTAGGCCAGCCATGCGACCGCAGCCCCCCGCCGCCCGGGCTCGGCCCCCGCCCGAGCCCCGGCCTCGGCCCCGGCGCCGGCCCCGCGGGGCGCTGTGAGCCGCCCCCCGGAGTCGCCGCGGCCGGAGGAGCGTGCGCCCCCATGGCTGCGCCGCGCGCCGCGTCCCCGCGCCGCCCGCTGCGGCTCCGGCTCCGGCCGCCGCTGCTGCCGCTGCTGCTGCTGCTGCTGCTGCCCGCGCCGAGCCAGGGTGAGCGGGGCGCGCCAGGCTGCGGACCCCGCGCGCTGCAGCCCCGGGTGGGGTTGGGGAGGTGCCGAGGACCGGGATCCCCCGGCGGCGATCGCGGGGGGGGGGACTCGGGGATCAGGACCTGTCGGACGCGGGAGCCCGGAGCGGGGAGATCCGGGGCTGGCACTGGGGATCGGGGAGGCCGAGGTGCGGGGGGACGGCTGAGACCCGACTGCACCGGGGACTGGGGAGGGGTGCGCAGCCCGGGCGGAGAGGGCGCGTCGGGGCTCGGAGGTGGGGCTGGTCCAAAAGGGGTGCGGAGGGCGATGCCGAGGAAGAAGAGGAGCAGGAGGAGATGGAGGAGGAGGAAGATCGGCGAGAGAGGGAGAAACCCCGGAGCTGGGGAGCCCCGGGCGCCCCGGGGATGCCCGCGGCCCCGCCCTGCCCGGAGCGCGCCCTGGGGACCCAGCGTGCGCTCCTGGGCCGGTCCCGCTGCAGCCGCCTGGAGCTCCGGCTCCACCACCACCTCGGTGGGCGCAATAGGCCCCAATTGCGGGAGAGGGGAACCGATCTACTCCCTTCCCTCTCGCGCCCCAAGTTCTCAGCAGACGCCCCCCCCACACACACATTCCCACCCCGCCCGGGGTTTGGGTTGTTAGCTCTCCTGTCCTCTGCCAAGAAGCAGAACATACAGCGAGGAGAAACTTTATTCCCCCTCCTCCCCATGGTTTTACTGGGGTGATTTGGGGGGGGGGGGCTCAGGAAATGTGAAAGGTGCTAAGTGTTTTCTCGGAGTTTGGGCTGCAAATGTCGCGGTCCCCTGAGAAGAGGACGGATCCGGGAGCCCTGCGCCCCCCCGGCCTTCTATCTCCCCATCTATGTCCTCCAACATGGACAGCGAATGGCAGGATCGCTAGTTCCCTGGAAATGTGCGGGGAAAGGGGGGGGGGGGCGGTGCTGAAGTTGCTCTTTTATGCCAAGCACTTTTTCTTTCTTTTTCTTCCTGGAGTGAAGTGGTAACTGGTCTGGTAAGTTGCTTGCCGGAGAAGTTGGTGACTTGGCATGATGCCTGGGCATGGAGAGCTTGCTCCTCCTTCTGATTCCCAGATCAGCCTACTCCCCCCCACCCCTCTCATCTTCCAGCTCATTTCTCTTCTGCTACAGCCCTGAGGTTGGCTGCAAGAAAAAGTTCTAGGACCCTTTCCCGCTGAGCTTTGGAAACTCTCAGCTGGGGTTTGCTACTCATTGCTCTCTGTAACAAAGGCCAAAGGACCAACACCCAGAGCATGGGGTTAGGAGCAACCTACCACAGCCTAGCCTGTACCCTGGAATCCTAGGCCCACAACCTCTGTTCCCTACCCAGCATCAAAGCAGATCTCTGGTGGGCTTGCCAGCCCAAAGCATGCTTCATTACGATCTCTGTTTCTTTAGGACTTGCAGCTTCCCTAGTGCCTTCCAGTTTGTTGTCAAACAACCCTAGACCACAATCTTTATTATTCTTCCTTAAAGTTTCTATTTGTGTACCTGTACTGGGGCTTGAACTCAGAGTCTGAACTCTCTAAGCTTTTAGTTTTTGGTCAGTTGTGGGGCTTGAACTCTGGGCCCAGGCGCTGTCCCTCAGCTCTTCAGCTCAAGGCTAGCACTCTTACCATTTGAGACATAGCACCACTTCTGGTTTTCTGGTGGTTTATTGGAGCTAAAGAGTCTCACAGACTTTCTTATCCGGGCTGGCTTTGAACGGCGATCCTCAGATCTCAGCCCCCTGAGTAGCTAGGATTACAGGCGTGAGCTACCAGCGCCCAATTTGTCTCTAAGCTTTTTCACTCATGACTGGAGCTCTACCACTTGAGTCACCGTGCCACTTCCGGCCTTTTGGTGGTTAGTTGAAGAATCTCACACATTTGTCTTTGCTGGCTGGGCTTGAGTTGGGATCTTCCTATCTCAGCCTCCAGAGTAGCTAGGATTACAGGTGTGAGTCTACCTGTGGCCTCCGTGAGGAAGTCTGGACTAAAGCCATACCTTGGGTTGCCACAGGAGACCAGACCAGCTGCTGTGTTGGAATGAGCTTTGCTTTTGAGTCTTTTGGCATTGCAACTAAGACCCTGGAAAAGTCACCAAACACCTCTGGGATTCAGTTTCCTTATCTGTGAAACAGAGAATGGTGCAGATGATAGTCATCTTTACGTGTGTGTGTGTGTGTGTGTGTGTGCATGCACACACAGGTGCACTAGTACTAGGGTATGAACTCAGAGTCTGAAAGCTGCCCCTGGTGCTCTACCACTTGAACCATAGCTCCATATCCAGCCTGTCCAGTCTTAGCTTCGAATAGTGATCCTCAGATCTCAGTAGGTAGCTAGGATTATAGGCGTGAGCCACCAGTACCGGTCTGGCTGATGATTCTTATTCATATCTCAGAAACCTGGAGATGGAGTGTGGTGACTTGAAGTCTTAAACTTATAGTCTCTGCCTGGGGAACCCCATCTGGACTATGCACACACACCCCCAATAAACCTCTCCTCCCTTGATGCAGGTCTGGGCCGCGCTGCTGAACTGGCGTTTACTGTGGAACCTAGCGATGATGTTGGGGTCCCTGGGCAGCCCATAGTGCTGGGCTGTAAAGTGGAAGGGACCCCTCCAGTGAGAGTCACCTGGAGGAAGAATGGCGCTGAGTTGCCAGACAACTCCCACACCACCCTGCTGGCCAATGGGTCTTTGCTGATCCATCACTTCCGGCTGGAGCGGGGAGCTAGCCCTTCAGACGAGGGCGACTATGAATGTGTGGCACAGAACCGCTTTGGGCTGGTGGTCAGCCGGAAGGCTCGAATCCAGGCTGCAAGTAAGTAGACATTCCTTGTTTTCCCTTTGTATCAGCAGCTTTAGGTGCACAGTAGCGACCTTAGATGGTAGAATTAGATCATGTGCACATTTCATGGATTGGTAGAATATGAATGGACAAGAATGTAGTCAAACACACTTGTGCTGTTTCCTGTTTCTACCTGCCTATTAAACTGTGGGCATTCCCAGTGCCAGAGAAATAATTGACTCATTCTTAGTTCACAGGCTGAACTCCTGGCCTGGGCACTGTCCCTGAGCTTCTTCTAGGCCTAGCACTCTACCACTTGAGCCACACTTCCATTTCTGTTTATGTGACACTAAGGAATCGAACCCATGGCTTCATGCATGCTAGGCAAGCACTCTACCACTACGCCCTTCTCCCCAAGCTTTTTACGATTGAGGCTTGTGCTCCATAACTTTGAGCCACAGCATCACTTCTGGTTTTCTGGTGGTTAATTGGATATAAGTCTCACAAACTTTCCTCCCACGGCTTTGAACTGTGATCCTCAGATCTCAGCTTCCTGAATAGCTAGAATTATAGTGCCCAACCCATTTCAGAGACTTTTAGAGGGTTATTTCAACTCTCTGCAATTTTTTTTTCTTTTTGTACTTGTCCTAGAGTTGAACTCAGGGCCTGGGCACTGTCTCCAAGCTTTTTTTTGCACAAGGTTAGCACTCTACCACTTGAGCCACAGCTCTACTTCTGACTTTTTGGTGGTTCATTGGAGATTAGACTCCTCATGGACTTTCTTGCCTGGGCTGATCTTGAACTGTGATCCTCAGATTTCAGCCTTCTTCATAGTTCAGATCATAGGTGTGAATCACTAGTACCTGGCACAAATGTGCTTTTGTTTTTTTTTTTAGATTGGGAGAGAAAAGGCCAGGCAATATTTTGGCCTTACCACTGTGCTTTGCTGTTGCTGATAGATCGCCCACAGTTGTGTTGATTTAAAAGGTGGCTGTGCTTTAACAACGATCTTGAAAATCCTGTTATTTAACTTATACACACTGAGAGAGTGATAAGTAAACCCAACTTATCTGTGCATTGTAAGGAAAATGGCAAGCTGAGAAGCTGTGGGGTTCGTGGGGGGAGAATCTCCGCTCTTGAGAAAGGACACAGATGTTGTCAAGTGAAAATATTCTCCCTCCCATATCTCTCTACTTCAGAGAGTGATCTGTCCCTATAAAAGATGCTTTGGCTTGTGTGTGTGTGTGTGTGTGTGTGTGTGTGTGTGTGTGTTGGTTGGTCATGGGGCTTGAACTCAGGGCCTGGGCACTGTCCCTGAGCCTCTTTGTGCTTAAGGCTGGCGCTCTACCACTTGAGCCACAGCACCGCTTTTGGTTTTCTGGCGGATTATTGGAGATAGGAGTCTCATGGGACTTTCCTGCCCGGGCTGGCTTTGAACCTTGATGCTCAGATCTCAGCCTCCTGAGTAGCCAGGATTACAGGCGTGAGCCACCAGCGCCCGGCTTTCCCTGACATTCTGGGAAGCAGAAAAGCCAGGGCTTCAGCATCGGTAGCCTGAACCCCACACCACCCCACTGTGCTACCATGGCACGCTGCCTCTCTCCCTGCAAGCCGACAAGTTTCTTCCTGGCTCTGAGGGCATTCGTCCCCGTACCGTTGCTCTGAAGGGCTGATGAGTGATGAATTGTTGGAAACAGGGGCCCTCTTGCTGGGCTGAAGATGTCTCTTTGTTCTGAGGAAGGCTGTTCCAGGCCCCCATATGGAGCTCGCTGGGAGGCAGCCCTGGACTTGGAGATGGAATCACTTCTGGCTCAGACACCCTTGTCCTGACCCTCCCTTCCTGGCACTGCAGGGGAGGCTGGTGCAGCCTCGCAGCAGATGGCTGAGTGTGAGGAAGAGACTCGTGGACAGAGGCTGGGGACCAGAGCAGGACTTGAGACTTCCCAGACTGATGCTTCCTAGCCTTCATGGCCTGCTTCAGTGCTGAGTACTAGCAGCTAGTCAAGCCAGGTACTGGTGGGTGGCTCATGCCTGTAATCCCAGCTACTCAGGAGGCTGAGATATGAGGATCGCAGTTCAAGGCCAGCTTGGGCAGGAAAGTCCTTGAGACTCTTACCTCCACTTACCCACCGAAAAGCAGGAAGTAGAGCTGTGGCTTACGTGGTAGAGTAATGAATGAAAAAGGCTAAGAGAGAGTACCTAGGCTCTGAGTTCAAGCCCCAGGATCAGTACAGAAAACCAAAAAAGAAGCTAGCCAACCTAGGATCCTAGTGGGTAAATCTTCAGGAGCTTAAGAAGGGGTGGGGTGTGGAGAAGAACTCATGGGAAACATTTTTTCTTTTTTCTTTTTTCTTTTTAATGGTGATCGAGGTTAATCTAAGACCTGGAGCAACCTAGGCCAGCACTCACCCCCGAACGACATGCCCAGCCAGTACCCGGTTTTCTATAAATGATAATACCTGCAATCTGTTTGCTTTCCTTCCGCTCTAGCAGTGTGAGGAATTCAACTGTGTGGAGGGTGGGCCTGGCTTGTTCTCTGGGTTTCTGGAGAGAGCTGAGGGCTTTGCTCTCTAAGCACTGGCAGTCTGAGGTGGCCTTCTCCCCCACCCCCCCTCGCCAGGCTGTGGCCCCCTGGGGACATGCTTGGATGCCAAGCAACCACGTGGCTGGATTCCATTCTCTCACTCCATTGGCTGGTATCCCTAGAAAGCTTCCAGCCTGATTGGCTGCCTGCTTTTCTTCCTTGGGGAACTCACTCCCTGCCCATTTTTGCCTGCTGGCATTACAGATGTTGCGTGTGATGTGGGAAGGTGGCTTTCCAAAAAGGGGTGAGGGGCTTCTAACACCCCCCACCCCAGCTTCTGCCTGTGCCCCAGGAGTCAATGAGGGAGAGGCCTGCTCAGCCTGATTGGCTGGTAGACACACAATTTACCCAATATACCCCAGCAGGAAGACACATGTGTACATCCAGCTCTCAGGCCCTGTTTGTTGGGCATGTGATCTCTAGACCAGAGGGGCTCTCTTTGAATCTCAATGGACTTCAATGCGATCCTTGTGAGGTGTCAGGATGAGCTGCAGCTTAGATCTCTCCCCCACGCCCTGTCCCTCAGCTCTTCAGCTCAAGGCTAGCGCTCTACCACTGGAGCCACAGCGCCACTTCCAGTTTTCTGATGGTTCATTGGCAATAAGAATCTCATGGGCTCTCATAACAGGGCTGCCTTCAAACCACGATCCTCAGATCTCAGCCTCCCGAGTAGCTAGGATGACAGGTGTGAGCCACCAGCACCTCTGGGCTTGTCTTGATCTTTCTCTCCTCCATCTCAGAATTGATGGCTCAAAGGACCAGAACTGCGGGCAGGGAGGATGGGCAGGATCCTGGGGTGACGATTCATCTCTAGAGGACCTAGGCTCTCTCTACCTGACCAGCTGTGCTCAGTCCCCTGTGCACCTGGATCTTGACTCCTTGCCTTTCCTCTCTGCTTAGACAGAGGCTGTAGCCCGTTTGGACCCTGACTGTGGAGGGGGAGGCCCCACTTTCTGAGCCCCAGGCTCCCCCTCACCCCGCCCGCAGGATTTGAGTGTGGACGGGGAGAGTTTCTGGTTCCCACACCTTGGCTGCACTGTCGCAGGCAGCCAGCTGGCCCCTTAAACACAATGTGCAAATCTTCTCTGTTCCTGTCCCCGCATTGTCAGTGGCCAGGCGCCTGGGCTGGGAATGTGGGCCGGTGAATAGAAGAGGCATTTGCAGCCTGCAAATGAAACAGGGGCCCCCCCTTCCCCCCCTTAACCCTCTGCCCCCTCCCCACCCCCAGGGAGAAAGGACTTTTTCACTCCTGGCCTTCTTGTATTGCCTTTCCCTTTGCCTCTTCAGAGTCCCCAAGGGCTGAAGTGTGTGTGTGTGTGTGTGTGTGTGTGTGTGTGTGTGTGTGTATGTGAGAGAGAGAGAGAGAGATTTGCACAGTAGTTGGAAGCCTGTTCTATAATGCCTTAATCAAAATAGACTGAAAGCTGGACTTTAGTGGCTCATGCCTGTCATATTAGCTACTCAAGAGGCTAAGAGCTGAGGATGGAGGTTCGAAGCTTGCCCTGGCAGGAAAGTCCGTGAGATTCTTACCTCCAGTTAACCACTCAAAAGCCAGAGGTAGAGCTGTGGCTCAAGTGGGAGAATGCCAGTTTTAAGCAAAAAACAAAACAAAAGAAAACAAAAAAAACCTGCACTAAACAACTACAACAAAACCCCAAAATCCTAAAGGATAGTGCCCAGGCCTTGAGTTCAAAACAACAACAAAAAATAGACTGGGATAGATGGATGCCCAGAATGGAAAACCAGATAGACCAGTGTTGTCTTTGTTTAAAGACTGGACTGGATGGTTCCACTCAAAATGGCACTCCCAAGTTTCTCTGGCCGGAGCCTTGTCACAGAGATCTGTGTGTGTGTGTGTGTGTGTGTGTGTGTGTGTGAGAGAGAGAGAGAGAGAGAGAGAAACACACACACAGACAGAGACAGAGAGTATGTTCTGGGGCTTGAACTCAGAGCTTCATAGACTTTTTTGCTCAAGGCTGGTGCTCTCCCACTTGAGCCACACCTTCACCTCCAGCTTTTTGGTGGTTAATTGGAATTAACAGTCTTTTGAACTTCACTGCCAGGTCAAGCTTCAAACTGGGATCCTTAGATCTCAGCCTCCTTAGTAGTTAGGATTACAGGGGTGAGCCACCAGCACCGGGCATTGTATTTGTTTCCCATAGAGCCAGACCCCAGTTTCTCCTGGTTGGCCCCGCCCACCTTCTTCCTTGCCAGCTCCTCTCCCTGCTTTCATTGCTCTGTGCTTCATCCTGCCTTTCTTTTGAATATTCTGGAATCTTCTCTCACCTGCTGGGCTCAGAAATCTGCTGCAGAGAGCAAAAAGATGGGGTTCAAAGAGTATCTTAAAAGAAGGGTCTCTTTTGCAGCCCCCCCCCCCCCCGCCCCTACCCTCACACACAGCAGGAGACAGGCGGTCACTGAAAGGAGAGGAATCTGAGAACCTGGCCCC